GGCAACTGTTTGACTCGAGATTCATTTTAGATTATGGCACCATAACAGATTCTTTAATGGTAAATTATGTTAAATTATGAAACAATTCATTTCATTTATTGTATTAGACTATCGAATAACAAATCATATTGGGTTACCATTCGGTTGATATTCTTGTGCTACAATCATGAGGGATTAAGAAGTTGTTTTGTTGATGAGTTTCTTAAAACCTGTTTCATTCAAAATAATTTTAATATTTACTTATTATCACTATTTAATAAAGATATTGTGTTTGATCTTACTAATTAGGTAAGCTACTTATTAGGCATGTAGAGCTCACATTGTTTTATTTAATATTTTTCAAATACTAATCATGAAGCATAAGGGACGCATGGAAAATAGAGAACCACCTTAGAATTAGTTTTATTTATTTCTTTCCTTTTATGTTTAGCAAGTCATGGATTTTTTTTTTTTTGAAAATAGGCAATGGAAGTCATGGATATTTGAAGCAAAGAGATTTTATTTAGGGCTAGTTACTTGAGATCTTGGCTTAAAGTTGGTTTTAGATGATGGGTTATTTTTGGTAATTTTTAAAAAAGTAAAGAATAATTTTATGCCAGAGTTGCGTGGTTGAATTTTAGAGATAGGCTTTGTTTTACATTCTTTTGGGGCACTCCTAAAAATATGTGGTGTTGTTATGCTCTGCCCCTCAGATTGTGGCGTGACATAAGTAGAATAGGAAACAATTAGGCCCTCGCAACTGGGTTAATCAACATCCCCCTAGATTGGTTGGGAATTGGATAACGAGGCGTTGCCTGCCCCACCAATCTTTTAGTTTGCATGTGAGCTTACTGTTTAAATTTACTGTTTTTGTTCTTGTTTTGTATTATACATAAAGTTTGAACAATGTAATTAGTTTTTTAATAGTATTAATATCTCTATTTTTTCAGCCAAAAAAAAAAAATCGACTAGCAAATTGGTTGTCAACCAGTTAATAGGCTATAGTTATTACCACTATTAATTTTGTGAAGGTTATTAAAATTATTAAAATATTATTTTAATTTAATTATTAATAAAATAATTAATATTTATTATTTAATATATTAAAGTTAGTTTATAAGTAAATATTTTTAATAACAAAACTAATTATTTAAGAAAAACTTATAATTAAATTGATAGAATTATAGGTAAAATTGGTGATTTTAACAAAATTAATAGTAGTATAACTTTACTACATTGAATGAGAAGACAAGAGAAGAGAGTCTCAATATAATAATA